AGGCAAAAGTTAGGGAATTAAAGCGTATGACTATGTCTCGTCGGATCACTTTAAAGACAATCTGTTCACAGACAAGCTTCGGGCTTCTGATCAACCTAATCAACGTCGAACGAGGCAACAAATGGACAAGATACTCAGAGTTGCGAAGGCTATAGCAGAATGGGAACCCCATGGAATTGTTACACATAGCCATCTTTCTTTGTATAAAATTTTTCTCATTTTTATGACAATGTTCTCTTACTAGGATGTCTGTCTCCTTTGTACAAAATACTTACACAAAGTTAATATAAATATACTTCAAATTGAAGAAATTTGTTTGACTTTTCTTTCTCTTTACACTTGTGTTTTATTTGAAAACGTCCAATGATTTATTAAATGAGCATATGCATTTGAATATAATCACTACTTATAAATAAAACGAAATGAGAAAGGATAATTACTGATAGGTTGAAAGTATAGGAAAATGTCTTTGGGCTATTCCAGAGGAAATCCCCTACAATACATCATCCAGATCCCTAACAGAGTTGAAGCTTTGAAATACATATCCCCAGCGGAGTTAAGTTTCAAAAATCCCCATCAGAACTAAGTTTCCAAAAGCCCAATCCCCAACGGAGCCAGAAAACTTTGAACTGCAAACCCTCAACAAAGATAGAACTTTCTTCTCCAACGGAGTCCAAAACTTTAACCTTTAAACCCCGGTGGAGTACCATCCATAATTCCCCAATAAATTGGCATACAACCCAAGCCCTTGAGAACTCTTCAACAAAATAAACATTCTCCCCACAGAGTTATTTCCCAGCAGAACGAAGATTCTCATTCTCATTTCTCCAGTTGAAGCCTCCCAGGTTTTAATTCCCCAGTAGAGATCGTCAGAGTTTTCCTTATTTCCCAGGAAAGTCATGAAGGATTCTCACATCCCCACAGGTCACCAAGGATTTATTATCCCCGGCAGCAGTCAAAGATTTCATTATCTCCAGCTATCAAGGATTTATTTTCCTCAGCAAGACAGCTAATCAGCTTACATGCGCATCCATTACATTCATATATAATAAACATTGATAAAGCATGTTTTATGGCATCATACATGTCATGCAACATAACTTTGTGTTTTAGCTAACATTTTACCTTTTTCAGGATAAGATTAAAAGCTACCTTTAACAAATGTTCAATGATTTCATATACAGTACATGTACACCCCAGACACGGCGGTCATTCTACTACTCATTCAGATCTCTTATTCAGATACAGTATGGATACACCCCAGACACGAAGGTCATTATATTACTCATTCAGAATTCAGCAATCAGATACAGACTAGACATGCTCCAGACACGAAAGCCTTTCTATTTCTCATTCAGATTCAACTATCAACTTCAGGTTCAGATACACTCTAGACACGGAAGTCATTATGTCACTTATCTAGATCCCAGTTACAGTACAGATACACTCGAGACACGAAAGTAATTCTGCTACTCATACAGATCTCAACTTCAGATACAGTCCAGATACGCTCCAGACACGGTAGCCATTTTGTCACTCATTCAAACCTATTCCCCCAGCCCAGAGATACTCCAGACACGGATGTCTTTCTATCGTCTATTCAGATTTCAGAATTCGGATACAATATAGATACACTCCAGACACGGCAGTCATTCTGATATTCATTCAAGAATCAAATACAGTTACAACTCGGATACGCTCTAGACACGGACGCCATCCCATTGCTCAAACAAATCCAATCTCCAGATACAACTCAGATGCATTCCAAATACGAATACCAATATGGTGTTCATTCTCCTGATTTTCAACAAACAATCTTGGATGGCATCTTTAAGCCCATCTCCAGCAAGATTCTACCAGCTCCAAATGGCATCTTTAAGCCCATTCCTTCAGCTACATTTTGACGAGTGCAAATTTACGGGCACTCTAGTGTCCAATCATCTTTTACCTTCGAGTCACGAAAGGCAAACTCGAGGTTCAAGAAGATTGAACAGGGGAAGCTGTTGTACCCCAAAATTTTCCCTCTCATTCTATCAATATTTCCCCTCACCAGACTCCTTGAATTCCATACAGGATTGGGGTTTTGCTTTGCTTAAGACATCTCCTTGCACTGATGACCTAAATTAGGGTTTGAGTTTTCACAAGGATTTTTGGACTTCCAATGCTCAATATGACTTTCATGCTTCATGTTGGACTTACAAGATTACCTCTACCAAGTTTCAAGCCTTGAATCAAGTTTTTGCCCAGTCAATTGAACAGTTGACCTAGAAATCAACTGTATTGGGGAAAAAGTCAACTGTGGCCAATTTACAGTCAAACCTCACAATTTTTGATCCACATCAATATTATAGACTCATATGAACCATTTGATCAAGTTTGGACCACAACTCCTCAAGAAATTTGATCAGATCACCAAAAGGGCAAAATGGTCATTTTTAGGGTTTTGACTGCAGAAGGGCAATATCTGACTTTTGACCTAGCCAATGGAAAATTGGGTTCAAAAATGGACTCAAGGACTCAATGGCATCATCTTGACCTATTCACAAGGTTCAAAAGATCTCAAATGCCTTGGATTGACAGATGAATTTTCTAATCAACTGATCAAAATTTGACTGTACACTAAAAAGTCAAACTTTGACTTTTTGGTCAAAATCAAGTGCCAAGGGTCATTTTTCATCAAGATGTGTCAAAAAATGAAATTTGTTCATCAAGAAACCCAATTTTGAAAATTAGGGTTTAAGATTGAAAATTTTCATAACTTAGAATTTTTCTAAGTTATGAAATTTTCTTAATTTTTTCTAACTTTGCCCAACATTTTCACCATGATGCATTTGGATTCAAACAAAACTTCCAACATGAAAGTTTAAGTCCTCCACAAAGTCTACAACTTTGATTCACAAAGTTTTCCCAAAATAAGCTTGGATATCAAGTTATGATTTTTGGAACAAGGGTCCATGAAACTTTTAACTTAGTGAAATTTTGCCCTAGTTTAGGCAGGATTTTGACCTATCTTCTTGGAATTTTTTCACCTAGTTCCACTTGGAATCTCAAAATGCATTTCAAATATGTATTGTAGAGCATGTTGCAAGCTTTCCAAAATGTCCAAGAACTCTCCAAAATCATTTATGGTTAGGGAGAAACGAAGGCTTGAAGTTGGCAAAAACTCACTTTTTATCCATGGCATGTTCATATTGATACAAGTTGCAAACTCTAATCAGCCTTGTTTGAACTAGATTACAGGTCCCAAAACCCTTCCATACTCAATAATTAAATGCAAATCTATTGGTCTAAGGCTTTGTTTTGGTCATTAGAAGATTATACAATAGATTAATCCAAAAATGGTAAAAGGTAACATTGCCATTTTTGTCGAAATCTTGCTTTATGTCAAATTGCATCCTTGAGCATTTAACCATATCTTGTACAGAAAATCAAATCCACAAACTTGAGGGGCCAAGAGCATAGTGTTCAAGCTGATAGATAGCCTGTACAGGCCTGTCTTGCATCACTTGTCCACTTTTGCTTCATATACAAGAAACTTGTAGAACACAACACAACTGGAACATCAGAGAGAACCAACTTTGGCAAGCATTGGAGACAAGTTTCACACATCCCTTTGAGCCAAAAACACGAGCCTTTGAGCCCTCAAACCTGTCATAACACAAAATCACATTCCATTGGCAAAACAGGGCACTCCCTGCAGTTTGACTTCCATAGCAAAAATCCCTCGTGCGTTTTGCCTCAAACTGGTTCAAACACATTCCACATAACCTATCCAAGCTATCCTACCCCCTTAAACACTGACTGTAACTCCATTTACAAGGTTTACCATTTTTGATTTCATCTTGTGCAGGTTGAGTTCAAGCAAGTACATACCAAACCAAAATTAGACAGACTTATTTCAAATTCGAAAATATAAAATAAAATATCAGAAAGAAGAAAACCAGAAAAATAACTAACTGAGTCAAAACATAATTCCTAACAAACTTTTCACTCCTAACTAAGTGTAACAGATCGGTAGTTAACTCCTGTAACTAATTTTCAAATTCTAACAGAAAAATCAATAGAAACTAACTCAAAACCGAGTCCTGTTCAGAAGAGAAAATATTTTTAAACAAAAGCTCAGAATAAAATGGAAATCGTGGCATTCCAAAAAAATGAGCATCCGATCCAAATAGTGAAAACAAAAAGCTTCAAGCAGGGTCATAGCAGAATTTCAGAAAAATCAGACTCAATCCTAGCCACCGGAATCTCTAACCAATTCTTGATATCAAAAACTCATGTCCAATCTTTTGTAACAAACTTCTAACAAAATATAACATAAAACTCTCCTTTATCACATTGATCCTTGACCCTGTGGAAGGATCACCAAAAACTCTCTCGACATTCTCTCATTTTCTCTGCTTTGTTCTTCCATCATATTCATCGATCCTTGATTCTCGGCAGAAGAAGCACAACCCAAAAAAACAGAAAAAACTCTCTCTTCTCTCTTCTTTCTTCTTCCTTCCGTGATTCTTCATTCTCTTAAAAAAACTCTCTCAGCTATCGGCACTTCACAAACCTCCAGCATCCATTCTTCAATCTCCATCATTCACGTTTTGCAACCTTCTCCACGAATCTAGAACATCAACAATACTTTCCTTTCATAGGAATTCTTGCATCATGCATCTGCAACAGTAACTTCATTATTATTATTTTTACCTCGCATTAATAATAGAAATATACAACACGCAGAAGAATAAATTGAAGGTGAATAAGAAGAGGAATGGAAAATGAATTGCATACCTGAACTTGCTCCTCTGAATTTTTCGCTAGTCTCGTCATCTTTGAAGGGGCACCAGACGCTTGTTCTGATAGGTAATGCTCCTAGCCTTCTTCTTTTAGTCTTGTTGTATTGCTGTTCTGATTGGATCGAACCAAAACTGAAGCTTAAGAGCTAACAATCCACGAATAGTTTGAGAAGTGAGTTCGCAAGGGGAATCTACTACGAATTGGACGAAGAGATGACGATTTCGAACGGAGAGAAAATGGAAATAATTAAGGTAAAGGGACGTGATACAAATGAAGGTAGTCATCGCGCCGTTGAGAGAAGAATCAGAAACAGAGCAAATCACGAGCGGAGAAATTGGAGTCCAGTGGAAAATTCATCGGAGATTGAACCGAAAGTTGAAACGGCGGAGGTATTAACGTTCGTACTCTGAAAAGTTGAAGAAACTACAACCCTAAATTCCATGTATTCCCTTTCTCAATTTCTCCATGTGGTTTTCTTCTTCTCGTTACTGAAACAGGTAAAACAAAAAGGATGGTTGAGCAGGCTTTGGACCGGGTTGTATTTCGCTAAGCCCATGGTTTATTTTTGAAATCAAATTTGCCAACAAAAAAAACCCGGTCTATTATGTGATTATTGGACAGCCGGATTGAATTACCTTAAGCCTAATATACTGCATTTTTTTTGGCATTTGAATGGTGTGCAACAAAAATAGTATGGTGGACTACTGTTTTCGTTGGGCTTCTGATTGCATATCCTTACTAAGCTATTTACTGTTTTTTTTTTTGTTGATGGCCTATTACTTTGCAACAAAAACAATGCCATGCATCATACTGCTGGGCCTAGCATCAAATTACTTCAACATACCTCCTACTTACAAATTGCATCCCTTGAGTTTATTCTTTAGTATTTTCTTTTAAATAATTTTTGTGAATTATTTAGATTCGCTTGAACTTTTGTCTTTTACATGATAAAAATAATAAAGTCAAATATAATTTTTTTTAGTTTTTTTTATGTGATTTTAGGAATTAAATCCCGATTATTCGATTATATTTGAGATTGGTAATTCACCTTTGCTTGTTGAGATTAGAGTTTTATGCAGGTTTATTGTGCGATACGCAGATGCGCTTGAGATTTCGAATGTGATTTATTTTCACATCGGTGATGTTTCGACGCTTATTCCAAGCACTTGATTTCTCACTCTTTTCTTTGATTGGTGAAGCTTCCCCGAAGATCATCGGGTTTCTTTGTTTTGATACGCTTTGCTACGGATTGGTATACTTTGTTATTTTCTCTTGTTTATCTCATTTCAGCATTTACCGCTTTCTAGAAATCATGTGAAGTAGGAAGCAGGAAATAAAGAGCCTGCGCTCAAAGTCGCTGTTTAAAGACATGTAGCAGGCATTCCGCTCGTTATTTGCTATATGTGTTGTGCTTATGTTTGTTTACTCGATTGTTGATCGATGAGTCACTCAATTTAGAAATCGAGATAACGACTACGCTCTCAGTGCATGCTCCCTATAGGATTTTATCGCTTTTCTTGATTTCTTGTTGATTGATGAGTCACTCAATTTAGAAATTGAGATCACGACTTCTCTCTCATTGCATGTTCCCCATAGGATAGTTTTGTTAGACTTTCTTTGGCAGGCTAGTATAGATAGGATCTCTCCATGTGTGCTCTCTTGAGCTTATTGGCTTGCTTTCTTGATTTCATCTTTGTGTGCATGTTTTGAGATGATATACCCTCAGCATGTTCCCTTAGGAGCTCTCGATTTAACTATAGATGATGATTCGAGATAGACATTGTTTTAGGTGCTAGACCCTTGCTATGCTCCTTTAGGACTTCTTGATTCATCTACAGAGACTGAGTTGAGATAGACATTAGGATAGGAATCCATGCATGCTAACATAGGTTAGAGATTTCCCTTTCAAATTTAAACCTTAGGATTAATCATTGGATGATAACATTAGGGATAGATCTAGGTTAGTCTTCCTCAGATGATTTTTCTTTCTTTTGCATCCATGCATTAAGACTAAAACTTCCTTTTTCTTGAAAAAAGCATAAAACATCTAACAACTTCTAAATCCTTCTTTAAGGTAAAAGATATCAACCAATACAAACTCTTTTGCGCCTTTGGGCTTTTCTTTCAAACTTTTTTCAAAAAAAGAACATGTTAATTCACTTCTGTGTTGATGCGCGAGTCTCCAAAGGTCGAGCTGCGACAGAAGAAGAAATTAATATTGTTCATTAAAAAGTACAAACCAACAGAAACTTTTGAAGCCGAACTACGGCTGCTCTAATTTCTTAAAAGGGATACGTAGGCATTGGGGTAGGGCCTGAACGAGCATACATTTTATTTTCCCTATATTATTTTCTCCTTTATTTTGCATGCATTCCCTGTACAGCTTAGATTTAGATTTGAAACACACCCATAAGATAGACAACAAGAGTGGATACCATAGAGTACTATGGAAGTGTGGGATGCTAATACCTTCCCCTTGCGTAACAGACTCCCTTACCCGATCTCTCAGTCGTTTGATCGTGATTTCACCCTTCTCAGGTTTACTCGATGTTTACCTTTCCCTTCCTGTGGGATAAAAAACGTTTGATGGCGACTTCATTGATTTCATTATCAGTTTATTATTTAATCGGTTATTTCACATGGGAGACTTAATGCCTTAGGCCTTAGGAGTTTCATAATTTAACTATCTTGTTTTCATTGTAAGCCTAAAAGGCAGTTATGATTTGAACTTATTACCAAGTTTCTTTGTTTCCTTTTGATTAACAAATTTAAATCCCACGGGGTCCTTTAAAACATTGCATACGTATATACATTTACATATCATATCATTACATAACAGGTGTTCTCAAGACAAATTTTCTCATCTTCTTGCTGTTTATTTCAGCAGAAATGGCTTTTGAACAGGCCGTCAAAGATCTCCAAGCTCATATTCCTAATTCCAACAAATGTTCCTGAACTTAGCCAAGGGGAGGGAATAATTTAAGGCACTCATCACCAAAGAGAAGAAGAAAAAGACAAAGAAACCAGCTGGCATCCTTAACATGGGAAGAAGGTTCAGGGGCCCAGTCAAGCGAGTTCAGGATCCCGATACTCCATTAGACTAAGACGACGAACAGGATGATAAGAGTGGTGAAACTAAGAAAAGAAACCACGGTCCTGCCAAATACTCTAATGAAGAGGAAGAAAATTATTTGAATGAACAATACCCCTCTGCTGATAAAAAATACAAGCAGCTAGAAGATCTTCTAAATTCTATGGAGAACCAGAAAGTTCTTGGGTTAGATTTTGAGGATTTGGGTTTAGTTTCAGAAGTTTTCATTCCTCAGAAGTTCAAAGTCACCACTTTTGCAAAGTATGATGGTGTTTCCTACCTAAAGCTCTATTTAAGGTCATATGTCTGAAATATTCAACCACACACTACTGACAGGAAGTTGTGAGTGCATTTCTTTCAAGAGAGCTTGTCTAGAACACTGTTGGAATGGCTCTATCAATTAGAAGGGACCAATATCCGTACTTGGGAATATTTGGTTGTTGCTTTCTATAAGAAATACCAGTATAATACTAATCTTGCACCAACCCGTATGCAACTATAGAGTATGACCATGGGCTCTAACGAAGGCTTTAAACAGTATGCCCATAAATGGAGAGATCTAACAGGAAGAGTTCAGCGTCCCTTGTCTGATAGGGAATTGGTTGACATGTTTATGGGAACTTTGATAGGTCCTTTCTTCAATCATCTGATTGGAATCTCTTTATTCAGGTTCACCGAGTTGATATTAGCAGGGGAACATGTTGAAGGTGGAATCAAAAGCGAAAAAATTCAGGTGGCTGCATCTTCTAGTACTGCGAAGAAGTCACTCAACGGGAAGAAAGAAGCTAATGTTGTGTACGGCCAAAAAGGTCGTAGTAAAGGTGACTGCCATCAATATGTGGGGGCAGTAATGATTTCCAATCCCGCACCAATGCAACATCAACAACAAGGCAATCAACATAGGCCGGATGCACCCAAGAGACAATTCACCAAAATCAATATGTCGTTGTCTCAAGCATTGCAACAGCTGTTAAAGGCAGAGCTGCTTATGTTAAAAGATCCTCCTTATAATCCCAACACATCCTCTTCCCGGTACAATACCAATGTAAGATGCGTCTATCATTCCAATAGTCTCGGGCATGACACAAATGGCTGCTAGGATCTGAAAAAATAAAATCCAAGATATGATTGACTCTAAGGAGATTGGACTTGATCCTCCTGAAACTCCTAATATGATCACTGCACCTATACCTAATCATGACAAGGGTGTTAATGTTATTAATGTTGTGGAAGACGTTGATAGCGACTATGACATAAACAGTTGAATTTTCCATACTATTGGCAATGGGCTCAACAATTGGAAGGCTGAAGACTTTATACCAATCTCCTTTAGTCAGGTGTAAATGATATTCTCTGATTTCTTGCTTTCAAGTTTTTGGATATGTAATTTAAACAATAACTTTAAGCCTTGTGCCTTACCTGGGGCACAACGGTCCATTTGTTAGGGTTATCATATTTCATATATATATTTTCATTTAATAAATCATTGGACGTTTGCATTCAAATTTTGTGCTCTTTGTCTTTCTTTTACTTTATTGCTTTCAAAATAGCTATGTGTTCTTACACACACCCACATAACAAATTGCAGATCCACATCCACTCTGGATCACATTGATAACAATTCTGCTATTGCCAATTATGACTTTGAAAATCCGATCTACCAAGTCGAGGACGAAGGTGAGGAAGATTGTGAAGTTCCTGGAGAACTTGCTAGACTATTAGAGCAAGAAGAAATAGCTATACAGCCGCATGAAGAGCAAGTTGAGGTTCTGAACTTGGATACTGAAGGGGATAGAAAACAAATCAAGATAGGTGTTGACCTAGAAGACAATGTCAAAGAGAGGATAATCCAGATGTTACGTGACTATATTGAAATTTTTGCTTGGTCATATGAATACATGCTAGGGCTTGATACCGACATTGTGGTTCACCATCTACCAATGAAGGAAGTTTGTCCCCCTATAAAGCATAAGGTTCATCATATGCGCCCTGAGATGTATGAAAAGATCAAGGCTGAAGTTATGAAGCAGTTCAATGCAGGTTTCCTAGCTGTTACGTCCTATCCTCAATGGGTTGTAAATGTAGTGCTAGTACCTAAGAAGGACGGTAAGGTGCGTATGTGTATAGACTGCAGAGATTGGAATAGGGTAAGCCCTAAAGATGACTTTCCACTTCTACACATTGATGTTCTGGTTGACAACACCGCTCAACACAAAGTATTTTACTTCATGGATGGTTTCTCTAGCTATAATCAAATCAAGATGGCACCTGAATATATGGAGAAGACCACTTTTATCACACAGTGGGGCACTTTCTGTTACAAAGTTATGCCTTTTGGTTTGAAGAATGCCAGTGCAACGTATCAATGTGCTATGGTAGCTTTGTTCCATGATATGATCCATCATGAAATAGAGATTTACGTTGATGACATGATAGCCAGGTCTCAGAATGAAGAAGAGCACCTTGATCACTTGCACA